GTGGGTCCCACCCCCCATGTGAGGGTGGTATAATCCTTGATGTACACCACTTGGTATACAAGTGGTATAACCCATTATTTATTGGGTGGTCAAGATTTTAGATGTAAATTTGCTTCAGGATTTTCGAGTAATTTTATTTATTGGGGTGGTCAAGATTTTTCTTCTTTGATGTTATTTTTGTCGTGCGTTCAAAATTTGTGATGATTTTGTTTCGATCTTTACCCTCACTAACATCACATTCGTTTCTCCAATTTATACAAGATAATTAAATAATCGAATCACTATAACCAGTTGAGATTTTCCTTGGCTGCGAACTCATGGCCAACAAGTGAGATTGACTAATTTAGCCTCTGTTGCTAAGAATTAAAATTTAGATTTTAATCTAAATCAAATCAATATTTAATTTTAATTACATCTTTCAAAGGATCCACAATTTTTCAACTACACATCTCATTAAGTTTAATAAAAAATTGTTAAAAATTTAATTTTAATTCCCACTAAACAGTGTTTAATATAATGATGCGTGGATAACAGAAGTATGTAATTAGTAAACATGAATAGGTCTTTCCAGTCATTAAATATATTTTCTTCACAAATTAATTTAATAACGAGATTTACACTTTTCAGAATTGAATAAATATATTTAAACATTTTTTTAGTTTCAACAAAAATCAAATGAAAATAGTAGCATAACATCTTACTCTTGTCGGTCCAATTCTTTCAGCGTTATTCTTTAGACTTAAAAAAAAAAAAATTATTTTTTAGGAAACAATTTTTTTTTTACTTTTTGGCAACGAAAACAAATTTTATAACCAATTGTGAAAAAAATTATCATTTTAATGGATAATTTTCATGTAAAATAAAGCCAAACAGACATAAAATTTTAAAATTTTTCGAGTGAAAAATTATACCAATCAAACACACTTAATTAACAATTCCCTACAAAATAATTTCTAATCAATTACTTTTCCTGAAATTCATTTTATTTTCACTCATTTTTCACCATTGCAATCAAACGTACCCTAAATCTAATTTTAATTCCCATGGGCTTAACTTTCAAGCTAAGCTTAGCTTGATATTTTCATACCCTCTATATTGTTTATATTTAAAAAAAAAAAAAGTTCAAGCTTCAATCAGACACTCGCTCGTGAATTCTTATTAATTCAATCAGCGCCGATTTTTTGAAGTTGCGTTCCAATTTGTAAGTGAAATCATATCGAGATTGGCTTTTGAATAGATCTATCTAACTATATTTATTATACCTGTTTATTATTTATTTCTTTTATTTTATCTTACAGGATTTCAAGAAACATTGATATACCCACTCTGAGATTAGATCTCGTAAAATTTATGATTTTTTCTTTTATTATGTATCACCGTAAGGGAAATTTTAACTCAATTTGATTATGGACAACGATTATCACAGTTCCGTTTCTTTTCGGGCATCTCGGAAGAATCAGTACCACGATACCAAAGGTAAGCACTAATTTGAATATTTTTTAAGGTGTTGATTTTTGGGTTAATTAAATTGAAAAATGGTGAATGCAGATGGTGAAGGGGGATTTTTGAGTGGCGGGAAGTTAACGCAAGATTATAAAATGAAGATTATATGGAAAAGGGGTTTCATTCGAATGGTTCTTGTTGTAGGCATTATTTGGATGTTACTAATTCTTGGTGTGTTTTTATTTCATATTTGGACTTGCCAATCTTCTGTCGTTATCTTTTCAGGTACTGATTTTGATTTTTTTTTCTTGTTTCTTTTTCGGTTTTTATCATACTGCAGGGTGCTCGTCTATGGTTCTGATTTTCCTATGAATTTTTAATTAATTTGTTAGGTAAATTCTTGAGGTTTTGTTTGAGGTATAGTCAGTTGAAGAAAATTTTATAGTAGAATTTGGAGATGATTGTAGTTCTGTGTGACCTTTAAGAATATTTAGTAGAAAATTCAGGTCTTTTTATAATATGTGCATCTTTTCCGTTATGAATTTACTTGAGAACTCTGTAAAATTCCGTCTTTCTTTACTGTTTTAAACCCTGGTATGATGAATCATTAGTCCCTTGATCAAGAAAATCAAGATTTTGCTTACCTATGTATATCTTGTTCCAAACAAAGTAAAGAAGAATGCATGAACAATGTGTAATTGTTGATGCTATCAGTTGGTTAAATTTGAAGTTAGTATGAGTGACTACTACCCAAAAATATATTTTTTGGATGTCGCAAGATCAATTTCCTTCCCCACTCTCCTTCATCCCTTGTAGGCCAATGTTATCACGTGCCCAAAGAAAAAAGAGAGAGAGGACAGAAACGAAATGAAAATGACAGATATCTACTGCAAATGTAGGACTTAGTTTATGTAGAAATTTCGATAGTGTATGAACTCGTAGAATGCTTACATTATTTTAAACGATCTGATATTTTCTGGTATCTTTTTCTCCAGCTAGACAAATATTTGTTTCTTTATATCAGGGCATAATTATACCTGTTTTTTTTTACTTTCTATATATGTAGCTCTTTGTAACAAAGACGGCAAGGTTTTTGGCATGCTAAACTCAATGGGACTTGTGAAACTTCCACATCGTAAGACTAGAATTTTTCTCTTTGACCATTATCATTTTATCTTAACGAATGTATTAAACTGTTTCCTTCTCGTTCACAATTAGGTTGTCCCATCCCTGTTGCTGATGACCCCAATAAAATAGTTCTTCCCACGAGAAAATCTCCTGAAAAAATAGTCCGAAATCTATCCTACACTATGCGGGACAATATCACAAGTAATGGATCTCAGTCAGCATCCCTATTTGGGGGTCATCAGACCTGGCAGCAAAGAGAGGAGAGCTTTAAAGTGAAACCAACCATGAAGGTGATAAACTGCTTGTTACTTGTATTATATGGTCTTTAGTTTAATTTTTTAAACCTTAAGGTTTCGGGGTCATTTCTGCAGTTGCTCATGGTAAAATTATTAAAGAATTTCATTAAGAGCTTGAAAATTGGCTGTGATTCATATGCATGAACAGCTAATAAATTTATTTCATTGTCATGCATTCATTTGTTGAGGTTTTGACATTAAACAAAATCCTTACAAAAGTCAAGCCTTTTCACTCCAATATTGTTAAGATGTAGAATTTTTGTCACCTCGTTGTATACATGTGAACATCAATTTACTCCGAAAAAGTCAAAATTTAGAAAATAGCAATTCCTTTTCTCGGAAAGGAAAAAGAACAGTATTTTTATAACTTAGCCAATTGGGCTTTCGGAATGTGTAATAAAAAAGTAGTGTTTTTCAGAACTCGAGTGCTTATGTCAGTTGCACAGTGTTGCACCATTTTTTTCTCCATAGAGGTGGAAACTACTCAATGATTAAAGGGATGATACCAGCTTAAACTTATTCCTTGTTGCATGATAAGAAATTTAATGTCATTAGGTTGAGATAGGTCTGGTTTGACCTTTACATATAAAAGTAAAGCTAAACCTTGTAAGTTGAGCCTCCAAGATTTCTATCCATAGGTTCAATGAATAATGTTAAATAAGGACTGGAAGCTATTGAGAACAAAGTATACTTCTGAGTAAAATGGAATGCAAAGTGAAGAATATAAAGAGGCGTAACGGTAAATCTAATTTTGACAAATAGTAATAAATTAAATTAGTTCTAACAGATCGCTTTTTATGACATACATTTACTATAGGATTTTATGTATCAAACGTGCCCCATCTATAGATCCAATTTTAACCGTTAGATGTGTATCATAACTCCAGGTGCACTGTGGTTTTATGCAAGGTGGTGGTGCAGAAATGAATCTGAAAGATATCAAATACGTGAAGAAATGTCGATTTGTAGTTGCATCTGGCATTTTTGATGGTTATGATATGCCTCATCAGCCTTCAAATATTAGTAAACGTTCAGAGAGGCTATTTTGTTTTCTTATGGTAGTCGATGAAGTTTCTCTAGACTTCATCAAGAATAACGTAACAGTCGGAGAAGATGATGATGGAGGGCAATGGGTGGGTATCTGGCGATTGATTCTGCTTAAGCATCAACCTTATGATGAGCCTAGAAGGAACGGAAAGGTTCCAAAAATATTAACCCATAGGTTATTTCCTCAAGCTCAGTACAGCATCTGGATTGATGGTAAAATGGAGCTTATAGTTGACCCATTGCTTTTGCTGGAAAGGTACAATATTTCTTTATCGTGAATTTTTTGAGCCAAAGTATCTTCATGGGTAGGATTGTGGAAATATTTAAGGTGACGTGAAGTAAAGGAATTTGCGAAATTCACTGCAAAATGGTCAAAATTATTGGATTAATTGTATACTTATACTTATTCATATTTATAAGTCATAATTTCTTATTTAGGATGATCACATAGAAGGGTGCCGCATTAAATGTCGGGATGTAACATTTTCTGTACAGACTGTGTACTCTTCAACTGGGCAGTAGAATTTTGGGAGAAAGATGATCAATTGAGTGGAGTCCCTTTCATTAATACATCAATTTGACATCTAATAAGGGGATTATGAAGAATTATCATTATAGAAAATCATTTACGTGCATAATGTGTGTGTGTGTGTGTGTAATCTCAATTGGTTTACTTCTTCACTTGCAGATATTTATGGCGCGGGAAGCACACCTTTGCCATTGCTCAGCATAAACATCACCGCAATATATATGAAGAGGCTGATGCAAACAAACGGAGAAAAAGATATGCTCGGCCTCTGATAGATCTACACATGAAAATATATCGTTACGAGGGAATGGAGCCATGGAATCCAAATAAGGGCACCATTAGTGGTAAGACAAGAGGTCATTACAATATGTGTAAATAATTGCGTTAAACAATTATGTTTTCTTTTTCGGCTCTTGTTTAGTAACAGCATTTCTTTAAATGCAGACGTGCCTGAAGGAGCCATTATCATACGTGAACATACAACATTGAATAATTTGTTTAGTTGCCTATGGTTCAACGAGGTTAACCTTTTTACGCCAAGAGATCAAATAAGCTTTGGATATGTCGTTTACAGGTTAGGAGGTCTTTTCAAAACATTTATGTTTCCGAATTGTGAATATAACTCCATCTTTATTTTGCACCCGCACACTCGCGAGCATTCATCTAAAGTAGAATGGGTAAAATCTTTAGATGAGTTTAAGGAAAACACTAAGTTGAAAGAAACTAGAGGAGGATTAGGCTTATGGACACCGTATCCCGGGAACCTTGATCTTGTTGTATTACCACCTGTAGCCAGAACATCGAAAGCAGGATGATATTAAATCCGTATTTTTGTATTTCAATATTAAAATTCCATTGTATCATTATATTTCATTTATGCATAGTGAAGTAATAAGAATCCTAAATGATGCTATTCATTATTTACATATAGAGAACTTGAGCAGTTTGAGTTCTCGTCGGTTTAAAGTTATTAAGGGCGTGTTTGAGCCATATTATTTTGAAAAAACTAGTCAAATGCACGTGCGATGCACGTGCTAGTGGAGTAGTTGGGTACTCGATAGTGTGATGTTTAGCAGAAAAAAAAAAAAA